CTCTCTCTCTCTGCCTCTCTCTCCCTGCCTCTCTCTCTGTCCTCCCCTCCCCCCTTCCCTACGCCTGGGCCATCGTACATGCGGTCTGCAGGTTTCTTTGATCCTGCCTTCTCATCGTTGCGCATCGGACGCGAAGCCATCGACAAGTCGGCCGCCGACCCGCGGTATCCGGCCGGCTTTGCATTGGTGTTCGAGTATGAAACCGCCCCGGACCTGGCCACGGCCATGGAACACGCGGCGCGGGACGCTCCGCCGCCCCTGTCACCGCTGCTGCTGCAGGATGCCGGGCTTGAGGCTGACCCGGCGAATGTCACAGGGTCGTCCAGCGAGTCGGAGCAGGCCATCACCGCGCGGCAGGAGGCTGCCGAGCGGGCCGAGCGCCAGCGCCGCGAGGCCGCCGACTTCGAGCTGGCTCGGCGTTTGCAGATGGCCCTCATGTCGGCCGGGGATGATGATTCCGCCGCCGCGCAGATTAATCTGGATTCGGTGGTGCGTCCGGACGACCCGCTGCTGCAAATTGCCTCCGGCTCGGAAGTCCAGGCCTCGGACTCTGGGCGCACTGCGGACCAGGGCTCCGGCTCGGGACGTGGCCCAGGCGGTGGCCCTGCCGCCGATCAGGATGAAGACCCCTTCAGTTATCCGGTGAAGCCGGCGCGCCGGACCCGGTCCACCGGACGGCCGGGCCCTGCTGGGCGGACTCCTTCAACCTCCTCGGCCGGCGCCGCGACCGCGACCGCCACCACCAGCGGCCCCGGGGCCGGCGGTGCCCCTGAGGCGGAGGGCGGGGCGCCGCGTGCTCGCTCGCGCTCGCGCATCGGCCGGCACTCGTTGTCGCTGAATCTGCGCCGGCTGCGTGGCGGTAGCCGCCGGCCTGGGAGCCCGGCCTTCTCATCGGGGTCCGTCTCGTCGGCCAGCTCGGCCCATTCGCTGTCAGCAACCGGCAGCCATACCGGCCCGAATAGGGCCTCTTGGGCCTCGGCCGATGGGAATATCGGTGGCAGCCGTCCCCGCGCCCCGAGTCAGCCCATCGGCGGGTCATCCAGCCTGAGTGTACGTATTCATTCTCCGTCGATTGTGTGGCTTGTTGCTGTCTGCCTCCCTCCCTTTCTTGTGGTTTAGCATCATGCTGATCTTCGTTCCCATCTCTCTCTCTCTCTCTCTCTGTTTCCTTCTCCTCTCTCTCCTTCTCTTCTCTCTCCTTCTCTTCTCTCCCCTTCTCTCCTTCTCCCTCCCCCTCTCTCCTTCTCCCTCCCCCCCCTCTCTCTCTCTCCTTCTCCCTCCCTCTCTCTCTCTCTCTCTCTCCTTCTCCCTCCCTCTCTCTCTCTCTCTCTCCTTCTCCCTCCCTCTCTCTCTCTCTCCTGCAGTCCCCCAGCCGTTCCCGGCCTCTTGGCCAGGTGCGGAATTCCGCCTTTGCTCGAAGCGATTCCAGCCTGCTGGTAGTCGATGGTAGCCGGTCCGGGTCCCACCCTGGGGCCCGGCCTCTCTCGCCTCCGGACGCCAGCGGGCTCTTGCTGCGCACAACCGGAACCGAGGATGACTCGAGCAGCTCCGGCTTGGGTGACAGCTCCTTCGCCACGGACCCGAACAACTCCAGTGACTTGGACCAGGACTACCTGGACCAGCTGTTCTACAGTGACTCGGACTCCGAAGATTCGGAGTACCTGGCCCCGGAGACACTAGACCTGGAGGGGCTGGACAAGAACATCGACCAGCTGCTGTATGCGCTGCCATTGTCATTGTACTCGGCTCCCAGTCGGGGAGCGGCTCCATGCGGTGCCTGCCAAGCCATGGCAACCATGGCCACCACGGACTCCGACGCGACGACGGTTTGCACGTGCGGCGGTGCCGGGGCCGGTCCCACCAGCGAGCATGTCACCGAGGAGATTGACATGTGCCAAGTGTGCCGGTGGACTTTCGACGTACGTGCCCCTCCCCGCCCTCGCTTCCAATGTCTCACACATGCATCACCCCCTCCCCTCTCGTATGCGCGCTCTCTCAGCTGGTAAGAAGAAGCCCCTTAAGGCCCCCAAGAAGAAGGAGATGGACC